TCATCAGTTGTATCATGTTACCATGGGACGACGCAAAGGCAATCAAAAATTACTTCAACCACACACACGACGATCACGCACATACCTACACTCACACTTTCATAAAAACACATAAACACACTTGAAAACAACCTGATTAACACACCTACACTATCTATGATTTCACATTTGAAATTTATTTTTCTGAGATAATTCATCTTTTAAGCATTTCAAACTAGAATAAGCACACACACACAAACAGAGATTTATTCAATTAATAATGTACAGAAAGGCCTTTTCACACATCACTGAATATTACGTTGCACACAGACATAACTATATACAAACACGTACGTACACGATACAAATTTACCGTTACCACCATTTCATTCACGGGCATATGCATACTTACACACACACACACACAAACAGATGATCGAGTTTGTCATCATTTAAAACATTGAGGAACATTCTAAATCCACCCCTTGAAGGCATTGAAAGTTTGAGAGAACTAACGAAGCGCGCATAGCCCTGTTTTTATTCAAACACACACACACAAAAATACACGCTCACATTCACACACACACACACACATTTTATACACAATTACACGATGGTACACGTACACAGAGAGCGTTTGATTGGGACTGTATGTTCCGGTTCAATATTAAATATTCATGTAACTTTCTCAGTGTATGTCACTACGTGTGTCAGAATGTATGTATGTATTTGTGCGTGTATGTATGCGTGTGTGTGTATATGTATGTGTGCGTGTATGTATGTGTGTGTGTATGTGTGCGTGTATGTATGTGTGTTACGTCCCATTTCATAAACATACATGCACATACATACAAATTTGGAATGATAATTTGGCAAATTGCAAACAGAACTGAAGAAGAGAGAATAAAAATAAAATATAAAATATTCAGACAGACGCGGACAGGCAGAACCAGAAAAAACTAAAAACAATTATGCTGTCAGACAGTCAGACAAACAGACAGACAAACAGGCATACAGACAGACAGACAAACAGACAGACAGACAGACAGACAAACAGACAGACAGACAGACAGACTGACTGACAGACAGACAGACATACAAAGGAGGACAAACAAACAA